TTGGACTCTGTCCTCCAATTAAGCAGCATACTCTGCACTAATTCGTAAAAGCCCTCTGGTGTGGATCTGAAATAACCCCAGCTGAACCAGAGGTGTGTGGCCACTGGAGTTTGAGTTTATGGTTAATCTTTCAAATGCTAATTAGCCACCACCCCAGGGGTGTGGGTTAAAACTAGCAATTTCTTATCACACTATCTGTGTGAGGTGTTTGCAAACAAATCACGGTCAGTATAATAATAGTAAATGAATACTTCTGTCGTAAGATACATTTTGTAGCAGCAGCATTAAACACAGAGGCGCCTGGGTGGGTTAAGGATTCCAACTCTTCATTTCAGCCCTGGTCATGATCTCAGGGTCATGATCTCAGTGTTGTGAGATTGAGCTCCACGTTGGCCTCATTGCTGGGCTCAGCCACTGGGGCTTGGAACCTTAAGATTCTCTCTCTCCCACTCCCTCTGCCCCTCCCCCCTTGCCCATCCACCCCGATTTCTCTGTCTCTCTTTAAAAAAAAAAAAAAGTACAGACTTCAAATAATTTATAGGGAAATGAGAATATTTTTCACTTAAGTTATATTAGTAATTCCAAAACCTGGCTGTGTAGTTATGAAGATAACTGTTACTGAAGATGCATATGAAGATTTTGAATACACTTATTTCTGTGCGATTTGAGTGGGAAAAGCAACATTTTAAAAGTAATAGGTTTGATATAGTAAGGGATTCTAATATGCCTAACCACATTAGTAAGTTAATGTTAGAGACTGTGTACTAGTTCATTTGCATCCCTAGAAATTATACATATTTTGGACCCTCTCATTGGGAAAATAGCCCATCAACTTATATTCAGTCACCTTATATGTAGACATATTTGGGAGGTTACAAGGTTTGTCTGCCAAGTCCACAAGGCCTGAGATTCGGAGTATGTAGGATGAAGTTTGGGGGGTGGGGGGACCTCCAGGAATATGAATGGAGCACCAGCCAAAGAGGGAGGAGGTAATCAGGTGCAAATTTCACCTTGATGGTGATTTTGTTGCTGTGATTTGCCCCCCCCCCCTTTTTTTTTTACGGGTTTTCTTTTTCTTTTTTTTTTTTTTTTTTTTTTTACGGCTATTTCAGGAGAACTTGGCAGGTCTTTGAGAATGTGTTTATAGCCCCTTTCCCCTCTTTTAGCTGTTTTAAAACATGTTTAAGCTGTGGAACCCCCATTTAAATGAAATCTCACATGGAACACCAATATGCTGTTGAAATCTTGGCAAAGCTTCACTTTGTGCTTTGACTTGGGAACTGTCCGAAGCCTTTTTGTTTTATTCGCTCTTGTTTCTAGGCCTCTGTAGAAAGAAACAGCAAACCAAGCGGCTGTTGGAAATACTGGAGATTATACTCTGGTGCTTATAGTGTTGGTGACCATTCAGAGCCTGGTGTGTGATGGGAACTAGAAAGACCAGCGAGTTCATTTTATGCTCAATTATATTGGCCATGATTAACAACACAGCCTATGAATCATCAGTCACGCTTTCTGAATTTCCATGATCATCCAGGGGTGTTTCACAATTTTGACAGACAGAAAGTTTTCTGTTTCAGATGCAACCTGATGATGGTTTAATGGGAGAGTTCCTACTTCCTTAGCAGAAGGACGTGACTTAAGAAATCTCTGGCTTTTGAAAGAGCCAAGGTCAAGTCTTACCTGAGAGTTTGTCTCAATCTGATTATCAGACAAGGAAGCCCGTCCTTTAGCCTCTGGGTTATAAACATCATTGTAAACACTCTGCATTGTCCATCATGTCGCAGGAGCAAAGGGAAATTAAGACCTAGTACTAAGAACCCTTTATTCATAACCCTTTATTCAAAGTTCATTCTCTTCTGAAAAGGAAACCTATGAAACCAGAAATCAGATGCTAGTCCTACTGTCCACTAGCTGTGGGGTCTTGGCCAAGTCCCACAGCTTCCATTTTCCTGCCTGTAAAATGGAAAATGAATTTTCCTATCTGAAAATTAATAATAATAGCAAGTGTGTTGTACCCTTACTCTATGGCAGGCCCTTGACATGAGTTCTGTCTTTTAATCATAACGATACCCCCATGAAAAAGTATTATCGTTATTTCTATTTTACCAATAGGGGAACTGAGGCACAGGAGTTATGTTCTTTGCCCCAGGGTTGCACGGGAAATGATGAACCAATCTCTGAATGCAAGTGGCTTGAATCTAGCACCCAGGTCCTTACCCACCCTGCCTTGTCTCCTGAGATGGCCATGGTGGGGGTGAATGAGATGGTCCAGAGGGGCAAGGTGACCAGCACAGGCTTGGTCCTGAGTGGGTGAGAGTTGGCCTTTTTCTTAGGGTAACTTGTGCTATCTGGTTGGGTGTTGCATCTCTTTCTTTATACATTTCTTGGAGACAGTGCCTGTCTTACTCATCTTTTTTTTTTTTTCCTATGCAGTGAAAGACAAGAATGGTATAGCAGATGCCTTCTTCCCTCTATTCTATGTGTCACAAACCTATGCAATTTTTTGAAAGATTTATTTATTTATTTTAGAGAGAGAGTGTCAGAGTGTGCAGGAGCAGGGAAAGGAGCAGAGGGAGAGGGAGAGAGAATCCTTGAGCAGACTCCCTGCTGAGTACAGAGCCTGATCCCACCACCCTGACCTCACGACCTGAGCTGAAACCAAGAGTGGGCCGCTTAACCGACTGAGCCACCCCAGGTGCCCCAAACCCATACAATTTTTAGATCTGTTAAATTTGTGCCTTGTCTTTCAAGCTGCAGAGAATCCTCAACTACGCATTTAGCCTTTCACTTACTTGCCTTCAGTGGCTGAAGGAAGACACGAGTGATTCATAGGCTACTCTCATCACCCCTTATGTTTGCGTTTGGTGGTCATCCTGTCTGGATGACGTGTGCTGGGAGAGTAGGCGACCATTTCTTGTCTTTGTCCTGCCTGTGACATTGAGGCTACTCGGGGGAGAACAAGAGGACCAAGGTGGACAGGACTGTGGAGACCAGACTTGGTCCCATTATTGTTTGAGGATTTCCTGGTGTGCCTGAGTTCCCCACAGTACGGGACCTTCATTCGCCTCGTGTTCTGCCACCAGGTGGATTCACGGTGCTTCCGAGAGTATGGGGGTCTTGGTGATTAGGTCTGCAAAACCGAGAGAACCGAGGTGTGCCGGGGCCCACTCACATCGCTGTTGTTTGCGCAGTATTAACTTTTATTTTCTTTAACCTGGGTGAAACGTACCTGTGCTTTAAAAAAATTATTTTCTAGAAAAAGTCTTTTCTTTATTATTCCGTAGTTTGGAAATAGTACACAAGCTTTCATTGTGGTGGAATATGTGCAACATAAAATCGACAGTTTTAACCATTTTTAAGTGTATAGTTCAGCAATATCACATTCAGAATGCTGCACAACCATCACCACCAGCTGTTTCCAGAACTTTTTATCATTCCAAACAGAAACCCAGTGCCATTAAACAGCAACACCCCTTTCTTCCCCGAGCCCAGGTTCTGATCTATTTTTTTGTCTGTCAATTTGCCTGCTCTAGGTGCCTTGTAATCGTGGAATCATGGAACATGTGTCCCCCCCCCTTTTTTTAAAGATTTTATTTATTTATTCACGAGAGACACAGAGAGAGGCAGAGACATAGAGGGTGAAGCAGGCTCCCTGTGGGAAGCTCAGTGAGGAACTTGATCCCAGGACCCCAGGATCATACCCTGGGCCGAAGGCAGATGCTCAACCACTGAGCCACGCAGGCATCCTACATTTGTCCTTTCTGTGACTGGCTTATTTCCTTTAGCGGGATGTTTCCAAGTTTCACTGATGTTGAAGCATCGATCACCGTGGCATTCCTGTTTGAGACTGCGTAATATTCCATTGTGTGCCTGGACCATATTTTGTTATTTTATTCATCCGTTCATCTGCTGGCAGACGTTTGGATTATTTCCCTCTTTTGACTGTTGTGAATAATACATCAGTGGTTTTGAGAAAGAAGCAAATTTATAGCGGCAAAACATAAATACATTGTATTTTGCTACAGACTTCCAGATAATAACACATAGAGCATAAAGAACTATAATAAGCATCAAAAAGTCTAAACAAACCACAAAACCCAAAACACACTTCAAGTTCAGAGGACAAGCGTCATTGCTTTCATGAATGGTGTTAAACTAGTATTTGCCAAAGGCCTGGGAGGAGCCAGGCGTACACTCTTGAGTTTCTAGCCATCCCAGCAGGAGGGGTCCTCTCCAGGCACCTGGGCAGGTAGCTTTGCTTGCAGGCAGGTGTGGTCGGTGTGACACGAGGGGGACAGGTGTGAACCAGGGTAAATTCCTAGCGCTGCTCTTTCTTTGCTAGACCGAGCTTGGATGTTTTTGTTTCCTAGACCCGTCCTGAGGGGTTGGGGTCCTCTAGCTCACATTACTCACAGCTGTTAAGCAGTCCTAATCCCGCATTTAAACAGCCTGGTTACTTGGAGTTGCTGTGTCTCCAGCAAGTGCCTCGGATCTGCCTGTCTGGTTCTTGAGTGGGTCTCAGGGCAGCTATGCTCCCGTCGGCCTTCTGGAAGAGCTGCTTTTCTTTGGGCGATCTGGGGCATGGCCCTTGTCCTTCTCTGCCCACCGAGTGGCCACAGACCCGGGATCACACAGTCTGTCCAGGGGCAGCACACGACACAGCGGAGAGCCAGCAGCTCCAGCCCTCCCCTAGCCGTGCGACCTCAGAGACCTCCTTCACCCCTCTGGCCCTGGTACGCGACGGGAGGGGACCAGGTGGCCTCTGCTGCCCTTCCAGCCCCACACTTTCATGATTACCCATATTATGATTTAATGACCTCCCGCCTGCACTCTTGGAATATATGACTCAGCAGTCTGATAGTTTTGCTGCTGTTTTTAAGGAAGCCTGATTATTTTGCCATCACAAGCAAGTGTTTGTTCCCTGGTCAAACAACCTGACAGCCTTGATCCGGCTGGATTGGGCTGAGGCTGACTGCACTTCTCTTGCCGTCCTCTTTTAGGGAAGCAGCTCGGGCACCTGCAGGCTGCAGGCACCCCAGGCCATGTCAGAACTTTTGAGTGGGTGACGGGGAGCAGCTGTCAGCCAGTGGCCTTCCTGACCTAGCTTCGAGATGCTGAGCCTCAAGCTCCCCCGGCTATTCAGCATCGATCAGATACCCCAGGTATGTGGGGTCATCCAGTGGTTAAGTTCGGGGCGGTGACACGGGTGCAGTCTCTGCACCCAGGGAGGGGGGGCGGGGCGGGAGTGCGGTTCCTGGCTTTGCTCCAGCCAGCCTGCTCTGTATAGACACCCCACCCCAGGGAAGGACAGTCTCCTGCGCCCCCCGCCGACGCTGAACCTGGAAATGGGAACGATCCCGAAACTGCTGATGTTGTAACCCTTCCCTGTGACATCTGTATTTTATCCCAAAGCGAAGTCTTTATGGAGATTCCACGCTCTAGCCAAAGGGATGTAGCCAGCAGCGCCCAGCTGGGTCGGAGTTTTCTTTGGGACCCTCCCTTGGGTGCTGGGAAGCAGGCCAGGGGTAAAGCACCTCGGGTGTGGCTTCGCCCTTGTCCTTATCATTTGCAGGAGGCTCAGGCCAGGTGCAGCTGGGGGCGAGGAGGAGGGTGGTCTCGCGGGCCTGGGCCCAGGCCCCCTCGTGGACTGCTGGGCCCCAGAGCTCCCATGCAGCCACCCTGAGACTGCTGTATGCATCAGCCACCCGAATTGGTAATGGGTCTGCGGTGAGGCCAGGCTGCTGGTGAGCCCCGGCTGCTGGTGAGCCCCAGCAGGCCGGCGCACCTGTCCCCGGCAGAGAAGGCATCATTTCCTCCACACCATTGTTGCCATTTTCAGAGTCCCTTCCTCTTTCACGGAAGATGAACAAGTGTTATTTCACAGTGGGATGTTTCATCTGGAGGAGACCAGATGAAGGGGGACCTCTCTATTCGGGAACACTAGTCCTGGGCGCCCTCAGCCCTGTGCGCGGAGTTCAGAAGCGGGCAGGTGGCCAGTGTGTGGCTGGGTGGCTGCAGCTAGGTGGCACCGAGGGGACAGTTGGACACCAGGCAGAGCTGTCTGGTGGGAAGTGACAATGAACACGGCAGGTGACAGACAGAAACGAGGCTGGCCTCGCAGGAAGCCCCACGTGTGCTCCCAGGGCTGTGTCGCCTGCTGCGATTTTCTCCGCTGGCTTCTACCCACAGAGCACTAGTGGCAGCACCTAGTGAGAGCATGGGCTGATCCTCTGATCGTTCAGTCACGACATTTTTCTTGACAGCCTGCGATGTGCAAGGTGTCACTTTTCACTTTATTGATGGTATCCTTTGAAGCACAAGTCTTTTTTTTTGTATGTATGTGTGTATTTTTTTTTATTGGAGTTCGATTTGCCAATATATAGCATAACACCCAGTGCTCATCCCGTCATGTGCCCCCCTCAGTGCCTGTCACCCAATCACCCCCACCCCCTCACCCACCTCTCTTTCCACTTCCCCTTGTTCGTTTCCCAGAGTTAGGTGTCTCTCATGTGCTGTCATCCTCATTGATTTTTCCCACTAATTTTCTCTCCTTTCCCTTTATTCCCTTTCACTCTTTTTTATATTCCCTGTATGAGTGAAACCATATAATGTTTGTCCTTCTCCGATTGACTTCACTCGGCATCATACCCTCCAGTTCCATCCATGTTGAAGCAAATGGTGGGTATTTGTCGTTTCTAATGGCTGAGGAATATTCCATTGTATATATAGAGCACAGCTTCTTTATCCATTCATCTGTCGATGGACGCTGAGGCTCCTTCCACAGTTTGTCTATTGTGGACATTCCTGCTAGAAACATTGGGGTGCAGGTGTCTTGGCTCTTCACTGCATCTGTATCTTTGGGGTAAATCCCCAACAGTGCAACTGCTGGGTCGTAGGGCAGGTCTATTTTTAACTCTTTGAGGAACCTCCACACAGTTTTCCAGAGTGGCTGCACCAGTTCACATTCCCACCAACAGTGTAAGAGGGTTCCCTTTTCTCCACATCCTCTCCAACATTTGTGGTTTCCTGCCTTGTTAATTTTCCCCATTCTCACTGGTGTGAGGTGGGATCTCATTGTGGTTTTGATTTGTATTTCCCTGATGGCAAGTGATGCGGAGCATTTTCTCATGTGCGTGTTGGCCATGTCTATGTCTTCCTCTGTGAGATTTCTCTTCATGTCTTTTGCCCATTTCATGATTGGATTGTTTGTTTCTTTGGTGTTGAGTTTAATAAGTTCTTTATAGATCTTGGATACTAGCCCTTTATCTGATACGTCATTTGCAAATATTGAAGCACATCTTAAATTTTGCTATTAACCTATTTTTTTAAATCATTTTCTTGCTTGTGATTTTGGTGTCATATTTAAGAATCCTTGGTTAATTCAAGGTCATGAAGATTTGCTCCTATATTTTCTTCTAAGGATCTTACATATAGATCTGTGATCCATTTTTGAGCTAATTATTGCATGTGGTGTGAGACAGGAGTCCAACTTTCTTTTTTTTTATGTATATATATGTTGGTATCAAGTAGTTCCAACATCATTTCTTGGTAAGACTATTCCTTCTTCAGTAAATTGCCTTAGCTCCTTTACTGAAAATCAGTTGAGTATAAATGTGAGGGTTTACTTCTGGACTCTAACTTCTATTCTGTTGATTTGTTTTTATGCCAGTACCACACTGTCTTCATTACTGTAGTGTTGTAGTAAGACTTGAGAAATGTGAATCTTTCAACTTTGTTTTTTTCTTTTCCAGATTGTTTTGACTGTTTAAGGTCTCTTGCATTTCCATATGGATTTATTTTTTTATTTTAAAAAATATTTTATTTATTTACTCATGAGACACACACACAGAGAGAGAGAGAGAGAGAGAGAGAGAGAGAGAGAGAGAGAGAGGCAGAGACACAGGCAGAGGGAGAAGCAGGGTCCATGCAGGGAGCCTGACGTGGGACTTGATCCCTGGTCTCCAGAATCACACCCCGGGCTGAAGGTGGCTTTAAACCACTTAACCGCTGAGCCATGGGGCTGTCCCATTTCCATATGAATTTAAGGACCAGCTTGTCAATTGCTGCAAAACAAACCAAAAGGCAGCTGGGATTTATTTTAGGGATCTCATTGAATCTGTTGATCAACTTGGGGACCATTACCATCTTAACAATATTTTTAACAATATCTTTTGTTAACAATATCTTTTAATCCATGAACATGGGATGTCTTTGCATTTATTTACATCCTGAATTTCTTTCAGTGATATTTTGTAGTTTTCAGTGCACGGGTTGACACCATGAAAAGAATTTGTTGAATTTATTCCTAAGCATTTTATTGTTTTTGATATTGCTGTACATGGAATTATTCCCTTAAATTCACTTTCATATTGTTCATTGCTAGTATATAAAAAGAAAACTAAGTTTTGTGGATCGATCTTACTTTCTGCAACCTTGCTGAACTTATTTATTAGTTCTAAAAGTTTCTTAGTTCTTGGTTTCTTAGATCCTTAGGATTTCCTATATGTAAGGCTGTATCACCTGCAAATACAGTTTTGCATCTTCATTTCCTATCTAGATGCCTTTTATTTCTTTTCCTTATCCAGTTGACCTAGCTGGAACTTCTGCCACGATAAAGCATAGAAGTGGTGAGAGCAGACATCCTTGTGTTATTACTGATCTTAGGGGGAAAGCATTCTATTTTCTACCACTAGAGTGTTAGCTGTGGCTTTTACTGGGTTGAAGAAGTTTAAAAAGATGAAATGCTTTTTCTGTGTCTATTGACATAATCATGTGGTTTTGTTTTTTTTCTCCTCTTAATCTTGCCAGCTTGCCTTTTTTTTTTTTAAATATTTGAAAAGAGGTGGATTTGTGGCTCAGTGGAGCCTTTCTGTTATGTATTTTATATCTCTAATGTCTGTTATTTTTTTATTATTTTCTTTCTGCTTTGGGTTCCTTTTGCTATTCCTGCTCTAACTTCTTAAGTTAATCACTCTGCCTTTTAATGTAAGCAACATACATATATTTCCCTCAAGTATTGCTTTAACTGCAGACTACATGTGCTGTTTGAATTCATTTCTAATTTCCATTTTGATTTCTTATGTAACTTACGATTGCTCAGAAGTGTGTGTGAATTTTTTTTAATTCCCAAAAGTCTGGAGTTTTTGTTATTGATTTAACATAATTGATTGCAGCCTGACAGTGTCCTCTGTATCATTCCCATCATGGAAATTTGTTTAGACTAGCTTTATGGTTTAGCACATGATCAATGTGCATAAATCTTCTAAGTGTGCCTGAAAATAATATATAATCTTCAGTTGTGGGGGGAGTATTGCATATGGGTCCTGTAAAATTGTTTTTTTTAAAAAGATTTTATTCATTTATTCATGAGAGATACAGAGAGAGAGAGAGAGAGAGAGAGAGAGAGAGAGGCAGAGACATAGGCAGAGGGAGAAGCAGGGTGGGGAGCCTGATGCATGACTTGATTCTAGCACCCCAGGATCGTGCCTTGAGCCAAAGGCAGACGCTCAACCACTGAGCCACCCAGGCATCCAAGACCAAATATTTTTTTTATATTATTACTAATTGTATTCTGCTTGATGTATCCGTCATTGAGATATGTTAAAATCTTCCACCCTGGGATCCCTGGGTGGCACAGCGGTTTGGCGCCTGCCTTTGGCCCAGGGCGCGATCCTGGAGACCCGGGATCGAATCCCACGTCGGGCTCCCGGTGCATGGAGCCTGCTTCTCCCTCTGCCTGTGTCTCTGCCCCCCCCCCCCCCTCTCTGTGTGTGACTATCATAAATAAATAAATAAATAAATAAATAAATAAATAAATAAACCCTTAAAAAAATAAAATAAAATCTTCCACCCTGATGGCAGATTTGTGGATTGCTCCTTGTATATAAGTCAATTTTTGCTTTATGTATTTTGAACCTGTATATTTTAGGTACATCCAGATTTATGTAATATCTTCCCAGTGCAGTAAATTTCTTATTATTTGGAGTGATTTTCTTGCTATCTAGTAATGCTTTCATCTTAGAATCTGTCTTGCAGTCATATAGTGAGTCCAACTTTATTGTTTTTGTTATTTGTCTATTTATTTTTTCCTTCCTTTGACTTTTAACCCCTCCTTGTCCTTATATATATATATATATTTTTTTTTTACTGTCCTTATATTTTA